CTCCCGGATTGAAGCAACTTTTTTCATTAATGCTTGCTGTCTTGTTTCTTGTAGAGTCCCAGTAGAAACGAAAGGAAAGCGTATATTCTTACGTCATTACATTTATGTGTGCCAGACAGGTTTTGTTAGGGGACCAAAGTTTCCTGTCGCTGCCCTGCAGTTCCTTATATTTGTAACTTAAAATAAATTATATAATAATCAACATAATGGTTAAGGCAGGTTGTTTGCTTGTAACCCACTGCTCAGTTAAGTAAAGCAAAACTAGTGTTGTCTGGCTTTTCTGTGCTTTCTCTTCAGCTTAATCAACTGAACAAGTTTGGACAACAGACGGAAGAAGTCCAAGGTGAAATTTCCAATTTTTTACCCGACTACCCCTTCACTAGCGTTATGACTCGCGATGTAGGGTGGGTGATACTATAGTGCCTCCTAGATTTTGCAGTTTTCTTTAATCTCTCCGGCATCGGTGATACGACACGCACGAGTTTGGTTTACAGTTATTAGAGCTAGGAGCTGACACTTGGGATGTTGAAGGCGGCACCTGGCAACCTCAAAAGTGTCCGAGTTTGCCACGTTGCTGGACAGCTATCATTTTTCATCCCCGTCACCTCCTTCTCGTCCCTTAAAATTATACCCCGATATCTAGGGGCCAACATCGACTTGTTCCTACTACACTTCCTATCTTGAAAAGAAATTTTCCTTGATCCTTCGCTACCTAAAAGGAAAAGAAAAACAAAAAGCGAGGCTTCCTTCTTTCAGATAAATTGTTGAGATATAAGAAAAACACTTTGTGGATTTAATTTGTCGCTTTTCTTTTACCCATATTCATGGCTTCCAGGCGAGGTCCTCGATGGTTTTTCTTTCTGTTGGGGGTGTCAGCTGCACAAGTGTTGACCACATGCCATCCACAGAGAAGGAAGTGACAGACTTTTCCAAGTTAAAAGAGCAAGACCCAAGAAGCCACTTGTGAGCTGAAGAGCAACAGCCAACAAGCCGATGATGAGCTGAAAAGTAAGTCCCAACAAGCCAAGGTTATGGCATCAGAGGTGGGGAATGAGGCCAAGGAGTCCACAGAGTCTTGGACTGAGTGGGCTAAAGAGAAGATCTCTGAAGGGCTTGGATTCAAGCAAGAAGATGCCAAGGATTCTGTTAAGAAAACTTCTAATTCAGTGGCTGACACTGCTACAAAGACTAGGGACAAGGTCCAAGACATGGCCTCAGGTTAATTACTTATAATATTACAACCGATTTTTAAGACTATGTCTGTGTCTGTTGTAATGCACTGTTATTTGACATGTCTGCTTGATAGTTTCAGCACAACTAAGTCCTTAAAGCCTTAAACTTTACGAGGGCTGGAATTTTAGGTGTGGCATAATGCTCTCATTGGGTAGTATAAATGATTTGCTGTATGAAAAGTAACACTACTTGCCGCTTACTTTTTTTTTTTTTTCCTAATTTTGACTGCTGTAGCGTCTTTGATTATATAAAATCAAGCTATCAAACAAAGCAGTAAGTGCGAGTCCAACAGAAGTTTAACAAATTAATGCAACCGAAGTGGCAAGATGAATATTTTCAAAGCAGAGACTGCTTTCGATACATGTTATTTATGTTGGTTTAATTAACATTGGACAGGAACTGTTGAATACAGTGCAGCGAAGGCAAGGGACGTGAAAAATACAGCTAGCGAGAAGGCCACTGAGATGAAAAACGAAACGGTAGAGAAGGCCAGTGAATTAACAAATGCGGCAAAAGAAAAAGCTAACACCGCATCCAATGCAGCTAGAGAGGCTACAAACTCAGCCGAGGACAAAGTCAGTGACATGGTCGATACCTCAAACGAATTGAAAATGACGCCAAGGAAAGAGTGGCTCGGAAGGCGGAAGAAGCAAAGGAGGCAGCTGCAGAGAAAACGAAGATGCCATGGATGAAATCAAGAAGAAGAAAGCGCAGATAGAGGAGAACCTGAGCTGGGCTAACGAGAAAGCTAAAGAAGGGCATGATGCGGCCAAAAGCAAAGCCGAGAAAGCTAAAGGAGGCTATGATGCCGCCAAAACCAAAGCTGAAGAGACCTTAGAGTCTGCAAAGGACACCATTGCTTCAAGTTATGAGTCGGTAAAGCAGAAATCACAAGAAATCAAATATAATACATCAGGTCGAGGGCGTGATGCAGAGCTCTGAGTTGCCAATGGCTAAGGGGTTGCTTGTTTCGACGAGTTAGTGATTAAAGAGCTTGGCTGACTCGAGTGCTTTTCTTTCCCCTAGTTTGTTGTATAATTTCTTGATCACAGTACTTAAATGAATGATAATAATAGATGGTTCTCATAGATCCATATGCTATAACGCCATAACGTTTTTTTTTTTTTTCTCTCTCTATATTACAACACTGTATATTATTGGAAACAATTCGTAAACGGGTCAGAAAGTGACATATGTTAAACTATCATTAGGCCACGCCATACCAGTATAAGCATCCACCAACGCTAAACATAACCCATTTAATACTTGTTTTAGATTTCGCTCCAAATTAAACTAACATTAGGCCCATTTCTCTCTGGCGGGATGAGGGATTTTTAGCTTAGATCGGCATGAGTGAAGCCCAAAATCTTGCACGCCCAAGACAAACAAATTAACAGCTTCAGGCGGCTAATAGGAGTACTAAGGGTTATCAAGCGACAGCCAACACATAGGTGCCAAGTCGGTGTGGTCTTCAATTAAATTAAACTGACAATTTAAAATATATAACATGAAGGACATGATTGAATAAAATTTAAAATTTTAATAATTATTATATATAAATTTAATAAAATTAAAAAAATATAATTTATATTTTTTTATAATATATAATTTTTATATAAAATATAATATAATATATAAATTTTAATAATTTATATAATATGAATGCATGAATCATCAAATTTCATATAAAATATAATATAAATATATAAATTTTAATATTTTATAACATGAATATATATAAATCATCAAATTTATCTTGATGTGGGCTGTTAAAATCAGATGAATGTTTTGAAAGTAGGTATATATTGGCACTTGATTTTTTTTTTTTTTTACTCTACGTTTCTTCGGATGGATGAATATAGAAAAGAATTGTATATATCTTACGTGGAAAGGAATATGTGGTAAATTAATTACAGCTTGGCGATTGAGAATAAAGAAGTGACATGTCAAACCAATCTAAGGATAATTAGTGCGCGGCCTGCTTCATGGTGTATTTTGAGCCAAAAAGTTTGTTAGATGTGATCTCCAATGAAATCAACATGTATATATCTAGATGCTAGCTATCAACATGTATCTATTTTGAGCCAAGCTTAGTCCTTATTAATCATGCAGTAACATATACGTCAGGAATCCAAGTGAGCATGTGCTTTGCATGGCCCAAATGCTTGTTTTGGATGATCTGTTCTGTTGAGAACGTTTTTCTTTTTTTTTTATATATATTTAGTTTAATATTAACTTTGGTAATAGTATTAACAATATTATAATTGTTTGAGAGAGACTCGTAGTTAATAGTTTTGTCGGCATATATACCAATGTTGAATGATTGAGAGGAAAGTCTTCCACGTAACTAAGTTGCTTAATTAATTGTACAATCTCAATGAAATATTGATCAACATAATAATAATAATAATAACAATAATAATAAACAACTACACTTCACGCATTAAGACCTGCACTCTACCTTTTTGTTTTCTTTTCAAGTTTCTTCTTCACCAAAAAATCAATACCTTAAATATTAAGATTCGGAATCTAATTTCACTTCCTATTTCCACATCTTTAATTTCTTGTTAACTGAATGTATATGATGCGTGAGTTTTCTAGAGTATTTCATTCACTAAAAAACAAACCTTCCTTCTATCAAATCTCATATATCTGTTTAAAGATTTTGACCTTTAATTAAAAAAAAAAAAAAAACTAAACTAAACTACTATTACCAATATATAAAACATAAAACAAAAATAATATTGGATATATATAAATATATATACATATATGTTAACAAAGAAGTAATTGATTTAGGAGCATGCATGCATCCTAAGTTTGGATTTAGATATATAATCAAATTAACATATCCAATCAACTTAGACATGATAATTATTTAAATATGATATTGTTAAATATCAGTGCAATTGGTATGTATGGATATTGTTGATTATATTTTGTTTAGGTGATTCGTGTTTGCTATTTGTTGTATTTTTTTAATAATTGTTTTAACATTCCTAGTAATTATTATTTATTATGTGTTTATATTTAATATATTACTTATACAAATTTTATATATTATTAATTAATTAAATGATATTATTTTTTTAATAAATAAATTTTTTAAAAATATTAATTTTTTATATATTTATTTTAAAAATTAATATTTATTTATTTATTAATAAATAATATCATACATAAAATTTATATATTAACAATATATCAAATATAAAAAATTTATTTATTATATTACATGCCGGCGTCGAAGGGGAATGGAAAGTGGCTTGTTCTAACCCTTTTGTATTTGTACTTACACATAAAATAAAATTGTAACTATATTTTAATACATTAATTAATATAGATAATACTTAAAATATTATGGGTTTTGCTAACTTGTGTTTTAGGACATATTTGAAGTTAGCAAAATCCAAGCACTATTTAAGAAAAAAAATTCTGTATTTAATATTTTATTCTTATTAAATTTAATAATAAACAATATATCAATTACATATTTTTTTCTTATAAATATATCTTAATCAGTGTAACTCTATAGTACTGTTAAAGGGTATTGGGTAATATATTTCACAAAAAATAATGCTTTGTAGCCAAAGTTAATAAGAGGAGTATAATAACTAATTAATGAAAAGCCTAGTTATTAGGATTTCCTTTATTAGGGTTAGCAAGTAATACAAACTTGTACGTCAAAAGTTAATTAGAGGAAAATGGGATAAGGATGAGAGGTGGCGCGGGCTTGGCATGCTCGTGTATATATCCATTCAGGTTCAAACATCCAGAAGCAGGACAGTTTCAACGTTTGCTTCAGTCACAAAATATTTTTCCAGACGAACTCCTGTCCTGTTTGTTGTCTTGTCTTTCTATGCCAACCCCAACTAGTCCTAGTATTTATTTATGATCTGACAGGCTTTCGTATGAGAAATTAGGTATAGGGAGGGGTTAGAGATTGCGGAAAAGTCTTTTTGTGTATTGATATATCTCTTCTCTGAGAGAGGTGGTGGTTTTGGTTTAAGTTTTGCATCGCGTCTGAATCGGGACGAACGGAATTACTTTACATTCATAGAGATAGAATTAGTGAATGGGCAGAGAGGAGGAGAAGAAGAAAGGAATTTTGCAATTGGGGAATTACGAGTTAGGAAGGACTCTTGGAGAGGGAAATTTTGCCAAAGTTAAGTTGGCTAAGAACCTCCATTCCGGCCTCCTTTTCGCTGTTAAGATACTTGACAAGTCCAAACTCATTCAACTCAACATCACAGATCAGGTAATTAAGATTCCTCTTTTTCTTTTAAAAACTAATCTCTTAATTTCCTTTTTCTTCTTAATAACATCTAAAATTAAAACACAAGTCATCGTCAAGATATCCTTTTTATGTTCTGGGTTTTCTTCTCCTTTGCTGTTTTCATTCGTTTTCTGCTTCCTTTTCACTTTTTGGTTTTTCGTCAATGCTTGTAGCATGTGCACATGGAGATTATTACTGAGTCTGAATATTGTTGGCTTATCATGCCTTGTTTGCTTTCTCTTTTCTGATTTCTTTTTGGGATTCCCTCGTCTCTCCCGCTAAGCGTCATGATTAATTGACCATGGTCTTCTAAATCCAAATTGCAGATAAAGAGAGAAATCGCCACGTCGAAGCTGCTCAAACATCCTAACGTCGTTCGGTTACATGAGGTATGCCTGCCTTTCTTTACTATCATTCTCTCAACCATTGATGCTAATTAATTATCTCTGTTATAAGGAATTAAGGTTTGTTGTTCTTTTCATCCCAAATTCTGTACCTCTGTTTTTGTGTTCTAATTGAATTTTCAAATTTCCGCAATTTGTATCCTAAACAAATTCCACAAGTAACCGGAAATCTATCAACTCCGAATTTGTCGGCTTCAATGACGTGTCTTAACCACCATCAGCATGAATTCGTGCTCATAAAAAGTCTGATTATAAACTCCTCCAATGCCATGGCCTCAGCTGGCAACCAAATTTAACCAGTCATCACCACTCACCACTGGGATTTTTTTTTCTTTTAATTCTTTTCTTATCGAATTTTGCTGGTAAAATGAGGATCCAATCAAACTAAGCATCGTGTAAAGAAGTATTGCATCATGGTTTAATTTTGCACGTGGGATATAAATCTTTTTTTGTTTTTGGTCTGAAAGGGACTATAAATCTGGTATTATTATTATTATGAGAGGGAGACAACCTTTCTACTTCTGGCTAATATTGGTTCATCACGTTCAACAGTTGGACGATATTATTTAATCAGGTGGTTCCGAATAAGTTAAGGCTGACATTGAAATATTGTGCCTCTCATTTATCCCTCTAAATGCTATTTGTTTTTTTGATAATCACATTGCTACATGCAGACGGATCCAATGCTAGCTAGGTAGTGCAAATGGATGCTTCATGGCAGTTGTTTGGGCAAATAAATGGATTTATTGTGCTTGAAATTGCAGTGTATCTACTGATAACCAATTCAAACTACTTTTAACTACCTACTATTAGTTTCACTAAATTAAATCTTTCTCAAACTCCCAATGACTCTAGGACAGCTTTTTAGCTACAACTTCTGGGTTTATTCTTCACCGTCCTCTGTATCCTTGGGGAGTGAGACTTGAGATTAGCAAATTAATGATAATTCAAGTATGAAGAAGCTGTCAATGGTGATAATGATTTGAGTTGTGGCTTTTCGATGTGCATGTGTTTGCAACTTTGCACGTCTCTGGCTAAGTCAATATCATCTACTGAATTGCTCTAATGATGCCTTTGCTTAATAAACATGCAGATCTTGGCAAGCAAAACCAAGATTTACATGGTCCTAGAATACGCAACTGGAGGGGAATTGTTTGGCAGAATTGTAAGGGACTTGAATTTCTTGGGTTCCTTCTGCAATAATATTAAATTAGTTACATTGCTTAGCTGCTTTTGTATCACAGGCATCCAAAGGGAAGCTTTCAGAAGCTGAAGGAAGAAAATTCTTCCAGCAGTTAATTGATGGTGTTAGTTACTGTCATGACAAAGGTGTTTTCCACAGGGATCTTAAGGTCATTTCATCACCTCTAAACATCTTTTGATATGTTAAAGCCAAAAAAAAAATTGTCATAAATCATAACAATACATTACATGTTATATGAATTTGTCTTCCTTTTCTCTTCTTTCCATAATGTTAAGTTACTAAAATCTGTTCTCTACATTTCAGCTTGAAAATGTTCTTGTTGATGCAAAAGGGAACATAAAGATATCTGACTTTGGCCTCAGTGCATTGCCTGAACATTTTGGGGTAAGCTTCTCTTCTAAACTAGAAATTTATGAGAAAAGATTTTGTTCTATTTTTAAATTCATTTTGAAATACCAGGAGGATGGCTTACTGCATACAATATGTGGAAGTCCTAACTATGTTGCACCAGAGATTCTCGCTAATAGAGGGTATGATGGTGCCACCTCAGACATATGGTCTTGTGGTGTCATCTTATACGTAATTCTCACCGGATATCTCCCTTTTGATGATAGAAATCTTGCAGTTCTCTATCAGAAGGTATTTGAGGGCTACTTTCTGAAAAATTTTTAATCATTTTGTTCTTATCAACTCCAATGTCTAATTCTCTTGTGAGACTTAAGATTTTCAAAGGGGATACTCGGATTCCTAAGTGGTTATCATCTGGTGCTCAGAACATTATAAGAAGGATTCTTGATCCAAATCCTGATACCAGGATAACAATGGCAGGTATCAAAGATGATGAATGGTTCAAGCATGACTATATTCCTGCAGTACCTGATGATGAGGAAGAAGATATATACATTGATGATGAAGCCTTCTCAATGTATGAAGTGGTATGAGCACCCAAATATTTCTTTTTTTATCTTTGATGAGCTCTTTGAAAATTTTGAACATAACTGATAGAAGCATTATTTTGCTGTAGGCATATGATGGAACTAGAAGTTCAGAATCACCCACTCTCATTAATGCTTTTCAGTTGATAGGAATGTCCTCATGCCTAGATCTTTCTGGTTTCTTTGAGGAGGAGGTAAGTGCAAAACTAAGGTCTTCTTGTTAGTTTAAATTTTAATGTAGCATATAGTCCTATTTATCACCCCAATTCACAACATTTCCAGAATAGCTGATTGCAAAGTTATGCACAGGATGTCTCTGAAAGGAAGATCAGATTTACATCCAATCATTCGGCTAAAGATTTACTTGCAAGGATCCAAGATATCGTGACGGAGATGGGATTTCGAGTCCAAATGAGAAATGGGAGGGTTAGTACTTTATATAGTTGCTTAATGCAATACGCTTAAGTTTTTTCCAATACAAATTGAAAATGTTAGTATACCTTCATCTGTTGTGTATGCCAAAACACTCAAAGATGCCCGCCTTTGCTAGAAACATGCTTTCAGGAGATAAGATATGCTTGTATGCCTTCATCTTTTGTATGCGCCAATACACCAGCAGATACCTGCATTTGGTAGTAACATGCTTTTAGGAGATATGGTATGCTTCATAAGAATGGCAACATATAGTGCTAAACTTGTATGCTCCTTTGTTTTAGTTGAAAGCAACACAAGAACAGAGAGGCCAGAAATGTCTTGGCAGACTTTCAGTTGCAGCTGAGGTAATTCTTTTGTTAAATTTCAAAAAAATTTGTTGTCAATTTTGACTCAATGTTTGTTTTATGCAGTTTATCACTATACAACCAAACTCCAACCCCGTGTTGGTCCTTGTGAACCTGGACAGCAATTACTCCATTAACTAATTGAAGTCTTTGTAACCTTGTCAGGTGTTTGAGATAAGTCCGTCCTTGTACGTGGTTGAATTAAGAAAATCATATGGTGATTCTGAAGTATATAGACAGGTGCACTATTTCCCTCTTTCCTTCACTGAATCCAATTCTCTCATCTTATTCTCAGTTTTTAATTCAAATATGATACTTGCAGTTATGTACGAAGCTATCAAATGACTTAGGTGTTGCTCAGGGCCAAGAGCTGGTGTCCACAGAAGCTTGACAGACGAGTTCTTTGTTGTCTTAAGGAACATTAAAGGATCTCAAATCTCAGCCTGAGAGAGAACTTTAAATAGGTTATTTATGGTACAGATATAGTATTAGTTATGTAGACGATTTTTAAAAAAAATAAAAAATAAAAACTTTTGGGAGAAAGGGGGACTCAAATTAAAAGTATACACATAAGCACATATGTCTAAAGTGCAGATATGTTGAGGAAGCAGCAATTTAGCCGTTTATGTACTACAGCCAGTGCCTTCCGCATGTTCATATGTAGGGGAAATTTGTTTTATTAATTTATTGAATATAAAATCAAATTCTTTTTTTTTTTCTTATTTGGAAAAAGGAGTTTGAATTTACTCTTTTTTAAGTTTGGATATTACATTAATCACTGAGCCAAATGCTTAATCATTAAGCCAAGTGATGTTGTGCTAAACAACATTTACATTATACTTGGTAGAAATGAAGGAACATGGAAAGATAAAAAAAAAAAAAAAGAAGAGAGAGAAAAAGAAAGGAGAGGAAATGAAAGACAGTATATTTCTTTCATCGTGTTTGATATAAAGGATAAAATATAGATAAAAAGATAAAAAAATCAAGGGAAAGAGAGAGATTAGGTTTAAAATTGCAAATAAAATGACTAATTTAAATGACATAAGTGATATCTTTCTCCATTTAAAAAAAAATTAAATTTAAAAAAAATGTTCTAATTTACTCATTTTTCTTTATTTCGCTTATTTCCGTTCAATAACATAAAGTACACATAAAATTTTAGTTTAAAAGGGACAAGTCGAGTCAAGAGTTAATACATTGACCCATGACCAAGCCTTCCCCACTGGTGACTCACCGTTCTCCAACCGGTTCTCCCTTCCTCTCCTACATCCTTAGGAGTGAGTAGTTCGCCGGCCCAACCGATTTTATTAAAAAAAAAATCAATAACTAAATTAATTAACTTATATTCAATAAATAATTGAATCTATTAAAAATTTTAAATAATCAATTATAATTGAATCTATTAAAATTAATTCGATTAAAACGATTTAATTAAATAATTAAATTTTTTATTTTTATTATAAATAATTATTTAATTATAAATTTAATTTAATAAAACTCAAATTTAAATTTTATTTAAATTAAATCATTAATAATTTTAATAATATTTTTTAAAAAAAATTAAAATGAATATTTTTATTTTTTATCTTAATTTATTAAAAAATTAATTAATTTTACCTTTTCAATTATTAATTTTATAAATAAAAATTAATTAATTTAATTAATTTAATCGATTCAAAAAATCAATTATAATCACCATCTAATAAATCGCATCAAATTAATCAATTTTTTTTTATCAATTTTAATGAATTAAATCAATTTAAACAGATATTTACTCACACTTACTGCGACCCATCCAATTTCAATGTTCAGCGTTTCCATCTTCACTCATGTAATAATATTTTCTGTCAAAAAAAATATTTTATAACCATAATAATTAACATATACTCCTTTTTCCTTTTATTTCGAACAGAAAAAAAAGCTTAACTTAGGTTTTGTATAAACCAACACCAAGCCGCCATCCACTGCTATCTTTCCTCTCTGCCTCCCTCTGTTTCCTTTGTTTTCTTTTTCACATTCGCTTGCTTTAACAAATGCCGGAAAGCAAGCCGGTGATTGGTCTGACATGGGAGCCTAAGCTCCCTGTTTTACCTTTCCAATCTAAAACCTCGTCTGGGTCTATTTCTAAATCCCTGAATGATCCCCTAAACACTGCCCTTTGGAAACCCCATCAACACCTCATCGATGGCCTCTTTCTACCGCCTAATCATCCTTCGAAGCTTAACAAATTGCTCAGAAAGCAAGTCAAAGATACTGCTGGCGCTGCCTGGTATTCTATTCTTCAACCCTTTTTCTTTGCTATTTTTCCTCTTCTTTTCTTCCTTATCTTTCCTCTTTCTCTTTGCTTCCTCTGACATATATCTCACAATTCTTACTTTGCTAGGTTTGATATGCCTGCCCCAACTCTCACCCCTGAGTTGAAGAAAGATCTTCAATTACTCAAGGTGCTCTGCCCTTCGTTATTCCTCTTTTTTTCTTCTTTAATTTCGTTTGGTGGTGCTATGTTTATCTATTTGCATTTATTTGTTTATTTATGTTTGTCAATTGTGTCTCTTTGGGAACGTGCCTTTTTAAATGATGTTTTGTCATAGAGGATGGTGGATTGCCATAACATAAATTTACGTTTGGAATTAATGACCCTATCAAGATAATGAATTGATGTTTAGTTTCCATTTGACTTCACTAAAATGTTTTCCCTGGGAAATTATTACTTTAGAATCTTGTTTCTTAGGATTTTAAATGTTTCATGTCTTTCCTTGGATCCCAATTCTTGACTTTTGGCTACTTTTGTTTGTATATGGTACAGTTGAGGGGAGCCATTGATCCCAAGAGACACTATAAGAAGGAATCAAAATCCAAGGCACTGCCCAAGTATTTCCAGGCAAGTTTACTATTATAGGGTACTAAACTGATAGCATAGTGCATGATACTTGACACATTATGAATTTTTCTAATATTTTTATTTTCCTTTATGTTGTATGCATCCTAATTGGTTGATCTGCCACGCGTTCTAATTCTTTTTGACAATCAAGCAGGTAGGCACTGTGGTAGAATCTGTGACGGACTACTACTCAGGTAGAATGACAAAGAAGGAGAGGAAGCCAACCCTTGCAGATGAGCTACTTTCTGATCCAGCAGTTAAGCAGTACAGGTGAGATATCCGACCAACATCTTCCGTCTGAAGTCATTTGTTTCCAGTTAGATGCTGGATAGCATTATAGAATACCTGATTACTTGTTTGAACAAGAGTTTGGTCTTGAAAACACTATTTGATTTGTTTGGAGAAAAAAAAAGTTGTTCTCAAAATAGATGTCAGAGAACTCAGAATGGGAGATGTATTAGGGTGGGGAGGCCTTATATTAATGTCCAGGGTAATCTACAATTTGAAGGAAGGAGAAATACCATGTGTCTACTTTTTCATATTCAAAATGAAGTAGTTCTTATTTTGTTGTTGTTGTTATTATGGCCAGAATGCCTCTGCATAATAGTGCTGCACTTTTTCATTAACATGTGTCATCATTTTATAGGAAGCGCAAGGTTCAGGAGATTGAAGAACAGAATCGACCAGCTGGAAATGAGAAGTGGAAGATAAAAGGTCGTCAAACGTTCAAGCGGGCAAAGCAACGAAGGCACTGATGTTTTCATACTCTACCTTATCTTGGAATTTTGACTTTTCTGGATTACTGGAGTGGAAAGAAAGTTTATCTGTGAAATGTCCCAAGCAATAATTTGAACTATGGAGTCGTTTGAAGTGTCATACATACACATCGATGGGCTTTCAGGTTAAAATTGTGGGCTCCCACTAATGATTCTTCAGTCTGGATATTTTAGCATTTTGTTAGCGGAACAACTCTTTACACTAAACTGCAAGGCGCCTGAATGTATCAACCTTTATCTAGCAAATACTGTTTTGAATACTTGTTTACAACCTTCACTATTTGATGCTTAGTGAGATTTGTTTGGGGCTATGGAACACAAAACGATTTTATATCGAGCAAGGTCCACCCAAATTCAGATAAATACAAAAGTATTCCAATTTTCTAGCGACGGTGGACATTGGACTTAGACTGATGAATTTTCTTTGGTCATGGACTAACAATTTTGAGGCCACTTACAATTCCAAACGATGTCATATATATATATATATATATATATATATATATGTATGTATATGTATGTATGTATGTGTGCGCTCATGCGCATGCGTGTGTGTTAATAGAGAACCATAAAGTTATAATGATAAACGAAGTGCAGTGTGATCTGTTAAGAGTTAATAGAAATCTGTTGATAAAGTTAATAGTGTTTTAGTTATTAGAACTCAATTATTAGAAAGTAATAATGAATAATATAGCAAGGCATCTTAAACCATTCTTTTCTACTGCCGTTGCCAAAACACAGACTAGAGTAGCCTATCGTTTAGAATCCAATCAGATTATAGAAGGTTTATTTGGTGCCGAAGAAAATGTTAAAAAGTAGTAAGTTAATGATGGAGAAGGGAGCATCCAACTTATAAAAGCAGTAAAGAAGGGTACTTGCATTGCACCAACAGATGTAGAACGTGAATTTTCTACGAATATACAAGACCAACTGCCAATTTTATTGGAATAAAATTTGATAGCAATGCATTACAATTTCCCTAGATTAAATGTTTCCATGTATTAATTATGAATTTGCTTCTGCTTCTGACTGGAATAATCATGGCAAGGGTTCTTGTGAATCTCCCAAACGAGACAAATGAAGATACGCATCAGTCCCTGGACAAACAATTGAGAGAATTTTTTTGATGTGTTAATTAACTGGAAGAAAACAAAAACAAGTGAATCAATCCAGACCACCTAGGAAGTAGAAATAAACAAGCCAACTTAATGCAACTAGATCCTAACACCCAGCAAAGTCACAAACATTTTCTTCATCCCGAGGGAAAAGATAAAAGTAGTTATAATAAAACAAAGAGTATTCCAACTATTTATAAAATCAACAATAAAAAAATGGGTACAACTTGATAATTTGCTGTACAATGTCATCTATTGCTATCAATAATGAGAAACAGATAATTTTGAAAACTGTACCACATTAATTGCAGCCACAATTGCAACTAACCCAGCAGAGACAAACCAATAGGTAATGTCTAACAGTCAAAGTATAATGAAATGCAAGAAAAGTGGCTCTTCTGCATCTGCAAGACTGCAACAAACTGCTTGTTTTGCTATGCCTAATTGCCTATCAGTTGCTCTGCTACGAACTTTGAGTGCAAAGTTTTTTTCTTTCTATAAATTTTTTCCTTTTGGTACAAATGATAAAGTCTAATGGAAGATAGGAGTTTTCTTTTTTTTTTTGGACGGATGGGTAGAGATGAGATTAAAACCTTGGACTTCAACCCTCTTAAAGAGGGGCCATAAAAACACTAGGTAAAGCCTCGATTGTTGCTTTCTATTAACTTTGAGGATTTTGAGATTTAGAAAACGTGCCATCTTTAACAATGCAAACTCTTACCATTTATTGAGACTGCAAACCTATAAGAAAGTAATATTCTATAAAAATATAATACATGGAAATCTCAAATTTCTAAAGTTAAGATGGGACGAAATGCTTCACGAAACTCTCTTTGCATTAACTATTAGTTATGAGGTAATTCCCTGTTTGCAACATGAATAAAACTAGGACCTTCTAGTAATTCCTATTTTATAATTGCATTTTTTGTACTTGAAGATTATCAAGGTTTCTATACTGTCTTTCACACAGAAACACTGATATTGAAGCTCCTTGTTATTTCAATGTTACAGAAAATGAAAGTTTTGTTGCATAACGCAATACAGTTTCCCCTTGATGACAAGGGAAAACTTTCTAGAGCGAGCTCATGTCATATGATGGCACACAAAAATATATCAGCAAGAATACGTGCAAACATATGCAAACATAAGTGTGATGTCAATCAAATGCTTACAAGCAAAACAGTTCCATTGTCAAGACAGAGATTGACCTTAATGTCACAAGCAATTTAAGTGTTTATGCGGTCAAAATTTAGGAAACTGCACTCACCATATCCTTCCATAGAGATAACTTGAAGATCCCCTCCAAAATACCTAGCATACAAGCGGCTTATTGGTAACCCATAACCATATCCAGCCATTGTTACTGTATCAGCCGTTCCCAGATCTAAGTACTCATCCAATGGGTTTTTGGCAGTACTATAAAGGTATGTGAAAATTTTGGGAAGACCACTTCTTGGTATGCCGCCCCCCTCATCTGAGACCTATATTGCCAATGATACCAAGTCATATTCTTAGACAAAGACTGGAATCACATATCTATATGTTAGATGGTACATTTCAAAAACTTTAAATCCTCATGCCCTCAACCAAGATAAGAAATTTGCAAGAAATTCTATGGATAATGTTGAGCATGACAAACTACCTTTATAGTTACATCCTCAATTCCCTCAGCAACTATTATCCGTACAGGTGGTGCAATTTTATCTGAATCCATAAAACGCTCTTGGACAGCACGCAAGGAGTTTTTGACCAACTCAAATACCATAAGATGCAAGTGTGTTGGTACGTACCTGTTATGCAAGAAACAGATGATTCAGAGAACAGAAAGCAAAGGATCATTGATACCATAATTATGATTGAACTAAAGACCCAGAACAGCTCGAAGAATCCATATCTAAAAGTGTAGTGAAAATAAAAGAGATGAAAAATCTAGATGAAACTGAAATGAAGCAAACTCAACCAAAGTGAGATAAAATCAACTTACGGGAATGTAAAATTGGGATCACCATAGATATTAATATCAGGTGCACTTCCATACTCTCGCAAACAAATAGCACGAGCATCCTCACTAGCATTTTGTGCCACCTCCACTGGAGACATTTTTGTATGTATATAGCCCACACAATGTGGAGGAGGATTAGGGTTGTGCAACTCCACATGCTGCCCTGGTTTCACCAAATTTTAAACATGTGACAGTGTTTAAACCAGGCTCCAAGAAACAGTAACAAATGCAAAAATGAAAAATAGTTGCCAGTAGGTGTTGCTTCAAGAAAAGAACAGGTTATCATACTTAAGCAAATGAATTGAAACTAACCAATAAGCATGCGAATTCCAATTCTTGACATGTAAAATCGATCTAGAAACTGATGAATCTCATCAAGATCCTCATGAACAATCTTTGGATCCATGCCTTTCTTCAACTGTTGAACCCCCAAAGCCATCATAGGGACCACATTGTTGTGTCTCACCTTGATAGCCTTGATCATTTGTGTAAATTCCTTCTCATCATTTGTATCCTTAATCTCAGGAAAAGATCTTAAGTCACGAAAGGAATCCAAATACCAGTCTCGCACCTAAGAATGACGAGTAAATGAGTTATCACTTCAGATCTTCAAAATTTAAGACTTGATCTATCATCTTGTAAACCATCTCTTAATTCAAAACAAAATCCTCCCCCACATAGCAAGTAATCCGAGGGTCAAATTGAACGGAGAAGAGTTAGATGAAAAAACAAACCAGATTTAAGTGAAATTACGCTGATTTTAGATTCTATTGCAAGAATATGATTCCAAGATGAGGTCAGATAGTACGATGAGAGCAGGTAGAAAGCAAAGCAGCATGCAGAAATGAAATCAGAATGTTCTCAGATAAGTACCGTTTAAGTAACATATCTGTCTAAAAAAAGATGGCCTGAAGAGATAAATCAGGGTATAAAGAATTTATCAATGATTCCATTAGAGGCCCTAAAAAGTCCGCAGTTAGCAGCAAAGCAGGCATATGCTTGTATGGAAACGTATGTAAAGGGTATGTAAAGGGCATGGAAGACCGCGCAACAAATAAATTGAAAATCAGAAGGCAGAGACAGGAAGAATCTCCGTGTACAGTAAAAATGAATTAGAACTAATTATTTAATTAAAGGCTAAGATCCAGCATGCAGAATCAGATATTCAAAGGAGAAAAAGAAAAAGAAAGGCCAGAGAAGTTGAAGTTGTGATAAATACTCATTTTGGCAAAATGAAAAATCAGAACTTTGACACCAAAAATGGAGCAGTGGGTTGTAGAAAATAGCAGGAACGCATGGAAGACATGAAATTGAAAGAAAAAGAAGGAACCTTCAAAACAGCAGGCTTGTCAGAAAGGCCATAAGGGAGGGTCTCGAGCTCAATAGCTCTCCGGGCAATCCTAATGGGGAGCTCCTTGTGGAGAAACTGACCCGAAATCAACAAGTTTCGTTCAGTGGGTTTGGACCCAAACTCCATCATGTACCTCAAGCTGACCCCTGTCTGCTTCATGCAACCCCATTTCTGAACCTCCTCTATTAAGCTCTTGGAGAAAGACTCGCACGCTTTCTTAGCCGCCATCAGGTACGATTACAATTCAGCTAGACCTTGAGACCTTTCAGCCAGGCGAGGAACGTGCAATTCCAGAAATCTTGTGCAGGGAATGCCAAACCAACATAGATGATTGAAGATTATACAGAACCGGAAACACCCAAAATTTTAATGGGATAACGTAACGTCCGATAAAATATATAAACCAAGAGAGAGGGAGAGAGAGAATGAAAAAAAAAAAAAAAACAAAGAAAAGAGAAAAGGAAAAAGAGTGGACAAGTGGGTTACGTCTGCAGGAGGTCCTTCTTCATCTCCTCTGCCTCTACCTCAATTAATCAAAGTTTAGAATTTTACTACTCGTACTAGCATGGGAGCTAAGGCCTTGCCTGGCCTGCCCAGGTGAAAACTGAAAACCTCTGGTCCTCTGGTAACTGTTAATAGTAAAAATGTGCGATGGTGAGTGGTGGTGACCGAATCAATTAATAGCTGTTATTTCTGTGGGTTTAACACCTGGAGACGTTCAGATTAATACGGAGTAATTTGTTTTTCTCTTTTTTTTTTTATTTAAAACACTTTGGTTTTATTGGCTAATGATTCTGAATATTCGATGTGGACAAAGCCCCATGTTTCAGTTGGTTTGTTTAAAACAATACTACTTAGTACTTTATTAGTGGTTGTAACTCCGAAGCCAATTCTTTCTCCCCAACCCCAACTGTTTTATTTGTTTCTCCGTTCAACTCCGTGTTTTCTTTTCCTCGGCGGCCATTTATCATCTTAATCCCGTGACTACGTTATCATCAACATAACATAAAGAAGCTTTTTCCATTGTTGTGTTGTGTTACTTAATATTCAAGCAGATGCTTTTTAATGTTATTAGTAACAGTGCTCTTCCTATCCTTTGAGAAATTTAGTTTTTATATTACATTACTGAATTTAACATCAGCTACAAATCCTGCCTAATATTTCTTTTTGTATAATTTCTAAATTTTTTGATTGGATTGCTAAGAGTAGAAAGCTTCCTTGTTGGTTGTTATACTCTTGATTCTTTAATATCTCCAAGGAAGATGCTGATTTGATCTTCTTCTTCTTTTAATTTTGTAATAAAAGCATGTATGACATGAATTCGGATTTGAAACTAGTGTTTGATTTTAGTTTTGAAGGATTCATAGTTTAATTATTTCAGAATTTATTAACGAGGAATAGGGATCCATGGGTGGAATCGATATCACCAAAGCAATTTTTGGCTCGAACTAGAAGAGGGGGAAACTTGTAGGAGCAAGTGATGAGAACCATAATTTGCAGCCTTGGTTAGGTTATGTTTATTTGATTTGAATGTGACCGCATGAAGCCGGCGAAGGCAATCATCAACTGCTGTAATAGATAGCATAAAAGAATCCAATAGATATCCAGCCAGCTTGTGGCGTGAGTGAAATCCTAGCTAGTGATTCACGGGATGTCCTTTGCCACAAGCTCTAAATTAGGACAGAGACCGCCTTCACTTTTTCTTCAACTTGTCCTGGTCATTTCAAAAAGGCAAAGTGAAAATACATCCACTCCGCACCACATATCTTTTTCCGTCCCGCAAACGTTGAAAAACAATGACCCAGATTCAATCTTCTTTGCTGTGAATTTCTCCCTAATTTAACTGTTGCCTACCAAGCTCTTTTATTTGACTTTGAAATCATATATCCAATTCATCTGATAAAGGGAGGTGGCGATAAGGCCGATGCTGTAAAGAGCAAAGTCAATATATAGGATAATGCACCACCCAAGTCCAGGAATGCAGCGGTTGGAGCAACGTCTCCGTCTCTTCCTGCAAAAGACTTGTTAATAGAGTTGTTACAAAAGTGTGAAAGTATAAATCAACCCCGTCAAAATATAATCTTTTGGCCATGTGGATATCGCTGGGATTTATTTCCATGAGAAAACCATCAAAATATTATCATTCATCAAACCTCAACTTGAGTCTGACGTCTCACATAACCTTCTAGTTGTACAAGAAATAATTCTCCATTTGCGCTGCTCCATAGCTCATGGCTTTCTATATATATATAATATATATATATATATGACTCTTAGTTCATGTTCGTTTAATAATCAAGGGTTTAATATTTGATACTCTATACAATTGATCCTCACTCAATGATAAGATTGTATATTGGATTATACTAGCTAGTGTAAGCTGCATGTATGTGGATGCAATTTTTCTTATCAAATTATCACTTAACAAACATTATTAGTAACAGGTATCAAATTTCCGGAAAAAAGAGTTATGGATGTTTAACCCAATTATTCAAGAAACACAAATGCACTTGCTAGTAAATCTTCTACAACCATAACAAAGAAGACTGGAAAACACAAAAACATGATGACATATATGTGCATGTGTGTGTGAATGTGTATATATATATATATATATATATATATATTAATGTGTCATCTGTATTTTGTATATATGAAGATTCACATTCAACCTATAAAATATTATTTATTTTAATTTAAAAATTTTACGATTTTATCTTATAAAATATATTTTACAGATTTAAATTTAAGTCATTAATATATATATATCATATTATAATCACATATTCTTTTAATGTAAAATTAAAAACGTCACAATATAATTTATTTTAATTCAACTAATTTTAATCTCATGTGGTGCACAACTTATTTTTGTGTTAAATATAAGAATAGAAGCATAAGAATAAAAACAAAAAATGTACAATAAAAATAATTTAAATTAATAAAATAAATATATATTTATGATTTAGCATATAAATTCTTAAGATAAGATAAAACAGAGAAGAAAAGAAAAATCATGAAATGAAAACGTAAAAGAATTGAAAATTATAGTAAACACTTTTACTTTGATAAGGCACGTAAGTGAACTTTGAATTACACTTGGTATTACAAACTACCGTATAATAGTCGTCAAAATATTTACACGCTAGTGAACTTTGGATATATAACTTTTTTTTTAATTAAGACATGACTTTGGACCTCCATATATATCAAATATAAATATCTCATTCTAAGATAAAACACATATTATTACGCGTGGAGAATTAAAAAGAAAAAAAAAAAAAACTATGATTCATAAAAGGTAAAAGTTTTTTTGTCAGAAAAAGAAACATAGTCATTCTTTCTCTTTAATAAAAAAGTTTTTCAATTCATTTGCTAACACAAAGGCAAAAATTTTCACCTGATTCTTAGTTTCTTTTTTATAAAAAAACAAAGATCGAATAATTATGACTAACTACTTGTTTTCATAATTAATAATAATAAAAAAAAAACACGCAATAATAAAGTGTTTCTTCTGAAAAGAAAAGATTACATGAGAGAAAGAAATGCTCAAGAGGCAATATAAATTGATTAAATGGGAATTGTTTAATCTTGCTAAAAATATTGCAAACGGTCGAAATTTGTCCTAAAGCCAACTAATAAAACATAAACTAAACAACCTAATAAACTTGCCTCCAAACAATAAAAAATGATTGAACAAATCATTTCATTTTGTATATATGCATAACTAGCCTTAAGATGGTAAAACTATTAACATATCTTAAATTGATAAAAACCAAGAAAACTACCTAGGAAATATATAATAATAAATAGTTTGTTTTTAAGCTTTAGAGTATCAAGCAAATTTAATCTCTGTTTTTTTTTTTTTTTTTGTTAAAATAAATTATTTTATATTTAATAGATATTTAATTTTTTATTATTTTATATTTAAATTAATTTTTTTATTTATTATCAATTAATTTTAAATTAAATGTTTACTTCCCTTTGTCCGGTTTGTTGGTCGGCTCATCTCAGCTCCGGCTAGCTAGCGCAATTATTCCAACCCAAAATTTGGTCATCATTTTATATTAATTAATTCTATCTATGTATTTTCCAACCACCCCATACTCAGTCACACCTCAGCTCTTAAATAAACAAATTGAAATCCCCTATATAAATATCTGCTCTATAACGTTATATTCTATTCTCCTCAAATTCAACTCTCATTTTTTTCTGCCTACTTTGTGTTTAAATATAATTTTTAATTACACTTCCAAATACAAAAAAATTAATGTGGAATAACATAAAATAAAACTATTGCAATTTGTATTTGACTTAATATTATTATTAGTATAATTATTTATTATTAAGTGCTACTACACCTTTTTTTTTTCTTTTTTATTCCATGTTAACTTTAATTATTGTTTTTACTAAATACTTAGTTTATACTTTTGACTTAAATTTTAAAGTTTATTGTCAATGTTAATATTCGGTACTTAGTTACCGACTTTTAAAAAGGAATTAAAAAGTTAATCAGTTTTGTCAATAAAATTATTTATTATATTATAGATATATATATATATATATATGCATTAATAAAAAACACGTGTCATAAGTTAGACTATCCTTGTCAAAAAAAAAAAGAGTTATCCACGTAATAGGTAAGAATAAAAATTTTTTCCTTGGAAATTTTTATATTTATATATTTATTAATATAAAATATAAGATTAGGAATATATATATATATATATATTCACTAGTAGTAGGTATTAGTAGTTAATACATACGATGATAAATAATAATACAAGTAAATTCATAAATAAATTAATATAGTTGCCAGAGCAGATAGAGAGAGACAGGACAGCAATTCTCTCTTTCTCTCTCTTCGTTAAACTTGCATTCCTTTTGTGGTTACTTGGTAATTGTAGTTTCATTTTCTATCGTTTATTTGTCTTTCTATTCCTAACAAATTTCTTTCTCTTTCTAATTTTCTCTCCTTTTCTTCTTCTCTTTTCCTTTGACAATTAAAAAAAAAAAAAATACAGCGTGATAGAGTGAGTGGTTAGGGTTTAGAAAGTTGGTAAAGTGGGGGTGGGTTGAAGGAGTAGCCGAGAAGTACGTTTAGGAAATTGAAATTGAAGGATCTGCAAACGACATGGCCACCACGGAGTTGCAGATGAGCCCTCAGTTGGAGCAGATCCATGGTGAAATTCGCGATAATTTCCGTGCCCTTGCGTATGTCTTCCCTTCCTTTTGAATCAGTCTTTCTCCTGCAACTTTAATCAACTAGTTTACTTGTAAAATAATTTAGATAATTAGGGGATTGTTGTTGTTGTTGTTATTATTATTATTATGTAATCCGCAATCAAAACTCTCTTTTGCTATTTACATTTAGGTTTATCAGCTCAACTTAATCTTTCACAGCTTCAATTACAATATTCTTATATCATGTTATCTCCATGCCCCCTCAACTTGAAAGTGTTAAAAAAAGTTTAACTTTTTTATTCACAAGAGAAAAGATTTCAACCTTGTTGTTTAGAGTTGTTCTTCCAACGCCTAAATTCATAAATATTACATAAACCTGTGATGCATTGCCTTCAGAAATGGCTTCCAGAGGCTGGATAAGATTAAAGATTCCAATAGGCAAAGCAAACAGCTGGAAGAGCTTACTGCCAAGATGAGGGAATGTAAAAGGTATGCCCTATCTTTTCTATTATTCGCATAAAGTTATAGTAAATCAGATATCTCATTCTTCTCGCTTATAAATTTTTAAATATTAACTTCAAATGAGTTGCTGCAGATTAATCAAGGAGTTTGATCGTGAAATTAAAGATGAGGAAGGTAGAAATCCTCCTGAACTGAATAAGCAACTCAACGATGAGAAGCAGTCTATGGTAAGTTCTTTTGTGTGCCTTACATTTTCTTACTGTTGGCAACGAAATGCATATGTGTGATAGAATGTTTTAGTGCCGCGGAAGTGTGCAAGTGCTTTTCAGTATCACATTTTAAAATGCATAAATTGGGAGAAGTAAAAAATGCCCTTGTTAAGAGAAGATAAAAGCGGATAGTCATATTGGTTTTTTGGTGGAAAATTTATCTGCTTTTAATATATTTTCTTTTCATGTTATGGCTTTTAATGAGTTCTTTTGTTCTGTACTTTTGCAGATCAAAGAACTGAATTCCTACGTGGCATTGAGGAAAACGTAAGTTGGCTATTGTAAAGGGAATAGTGGTGAATTTTAAGTTTTTCCTTCTGGAGTTCAATTTTTTATCTAGGATAATGCCAGTTGTGTTGTGAAGTTTGGAGAGTAGATCAGTCTGAAAATTGGCCCTCCTAACGTAGGATGAAACCAATTCTTGAGTAATAGAATTCAGCTCATAAAATCCAATGAGATTGGCTTTTATTTATGTAATTTTCATGGCTTTTTTTTCTATAACTGCAGATACATGAATACCCTTGGTAACAAGAAAATTGAACTCTTTGATATGGGAGCTGGAGTCAGTGAACCTACGGCAGATGATAATGTTAAAGTGGCATCATGTAAGATCTTTCTGCTTTTCAGCCTCCATTGATTTTTTATTTATATGGTATGTTTACTTGGTATCAAGACTTCTTAGTTATGAAAATGATGGGTATGCTTTTGTCACCTGCTATTGTGATTTTTTTAATTTGATATATATAAATATATTCTAATTTAAAGCATCTCGTATCAATTATAATTATGTTGATTTAGTTGATTTTGGATTTTATGATGCTATATGCATTTTTAATCAACTCCTGTCTAGAAACTGGGATGTGAAGTCTTCTTAGAATGTTGGATGGTAGACTCGTAAGTGTGGATGGCTGACTTTGGATGCTACACCATAATCAATCTAATCCATGATATTGACTGAAATGATGAATTCATGATGTTGACTGAAACAATGAAATTATAAGAAAATAATCGCAACATGTAGGTTATCTGTACTTTTTGAACAAATTATCTTAGTACTCCATGGCTTGCTCTGCAGCTATGTCAAATCAAGAGCTCGTTGATCATGGGATGAAGACAATGGATGAGACTGATCAGGCCATTGAACGCACAAAAAAGGTAAAGCCGATTTCTGTACAATTTTACATGCTTCAGCTTAATTGTACCATTCTTCTTTTGTTTCTTAACTTTGGGATTGACAGGTTGTTGAACAAACAATTGACGTAGGAACTCAAACTGCTGTTACTCTAAAGGGCCAAGTAAGTCAGATTAAGTAGTCTTTTTTTTTTTTTTTTTCCTTTTCAAGCTATTGTGTTGCATATACTGATAGGAAGTTATACAGACTGAACAAATGGGCCGTATTGTAAATGAGCTCGATACAATTCAGTTCTCAATTAAGAAAGCATCCCAGCTGGTGAAGGAGATTGGTAGGCAGGTTAGTTGATTCTTAGCACTCTAAATGCAACTTTTGTTCCATTTGACTATTTTTCTGCCATATTTAAATATCTTTCTTCTCCCTCCAGGTGGCCACTGATAAATGCATCATGCTATTTCTATTTCTTATCGTATGTGGTGTTATAGCGATCATAGTTGTGAAGGTATTCTTTTTTGCTTATTGATTTCAAATTCTATAGCTTGATAAAATTACTGACTTATTGGGGTGGAGGTTTTGAGGTGTGTTTTGGTGTATATTTTGAACTGAAGTTTTTGAAAAGAAAGTATGTGTGGGGACTTGACCTCCGGGGTTGTTTGCCCCAAACATATTCAAATGCTGTACCTTCTCTTTTGTGGTATGGCAAGAAGGAAGTTTTCAATGTGAGAAATGTTTGTCACAAGTTATGATTAAATACTTGCGGTAAACCTAAGCTATTCAGTGGTTGTGTTCTTTTAAGTACATTTAAGAGATAGATTCACATTCATTCTTAACAATGCATGTCATAGTAGAGTGGAAATTTTTCATTTTCTGATTGCAATGTGGAAAATTTCAGATTGTCAATCCGAACAACAAAGATATAAGAGATATTCCGGGATTGGCACCTCCAGCACCTTCAAGGAGATTGTTATATCTAAGGGACCTGCAATAAAAGATGATCATTTCAAACAAGGGAGTGGATTCCGTTTATGCTTTGAGTGAGTTTTCAAAATTTTTTTTTAATCATCGATTCTTGACTGAGATGTGCATATTCGGTTTGTGATGTCTGTGTAAATCATGTGGGAGCAGTTATTGAATTATTTTGAATGAGATGCCATGTTTCTTTGGATGAAAACTTTGAAGATTGTTGTAGTGTTAGAAATAACAAACTCAAGTCTGAAGTGATTACATATATGTAGATGTCCTTTGAGGAGATGTATTCTATTTTTAAAAGTATACATTTATGAATTTCCATCTCTTGACTTATAAGGCATACAAGGTCGACTCAGTTGGACAATCGAACCATAATCCCTATCAAAAATGGTATATGGGTGAGCCTGTAAGACATGAAGGTAATACATGCCTTGCCTCTCCCTTTCTTTTTTCTTCTTGCATTCGCATGGGAGCTTCGTTAATGCAGGCGAAAGCACGCCCTTTTTTTTTTTTTTTTTTTAAGGAAAAGAAATGAGAGAGAACCATTCAATTACATACCACTAATCAACTTAATGAACATAATAAGTGGAGGTCAAAGCTGCTATATATATATATATTACGGGAAAGTCGGTACCAGTACCATTTACGCAATCTGTGAGCGATGACCTTGCATGCATTACAAAATCAAAGTATTTACAATAAAATCGCTATTTGCTATATAAGTGTGAAAGATCAATCCATTCCAAAAGAATTATCCCGCCTTCAACTTAGAGGGCAGGGCCCATTGTAAACTCCAAACAGAAGGCTCCCCATCAATCATCATTGATGTGCACTAGAGCACTTATAAATTATGCAGTATGGTTGCCTAGTTGTGATCGCCCTATATGCGATAGTCTTGATGAAAGTAGAGGCGCTTCTTCATCTTTCAATTCAGAGCCGTTGAAGTTCCCTCCACTGCTATCATTGCTGCTATTGGGGGTGAATATGTCTGATGACTTCTTCTCCGACCTCCAATCCTGTATTAACAAGATGAAGAGATCATGAATGGGAGAAGCCACACACATTCTCTCTTTCGAACCTTATAACGTGCAAGCTAATATTTATGTTTATTATAAAGTTGGACATCATTTCGATATTAAATCAGCACTTTATATTACTCTGCAAGTTTGTTTACTAGTATTATCTTTTACTAAAATAGGTAATATATTTTCAGACACAAAGTTCTAGTCCCAAGTAATAAAACATTATGTTGAGAAGATCATGATATCAAGGATTGTTTAGAAGGCTAACCTTTGTGAGTCTCTCTGGAATGCTATCTGAAGGTAGCTGAGAAGCACGACCATCTTTTATCTTTATGTAATTATACAAGACAACACCACAGAGAGCTGGATAGAGAACAAAAAGATTTTCTATTCAATTAATTTCTCAAAAAAAAAAAAAAAGGAAAGAAATGTAATGGCATTATACTGAGTGGAGAAGTACCGATCGCATAACCGATTATATTGAGCCCAGTTATGGTAGACTCTGGAAAAACAACGGTGGAAAGGGCAATCAGTATCCAGTCTTTTAGAACACCAGCAACCCTGATGGTGACAGCACCGGTTCTTCCAATTACTAAGAATGTGGACAAGTTCAGAGCCAGAGCAGAAAGAGCATTGGAGAAGAAGATCCAGAAATTGAACTGTATCTGTGAAATTGCCATCCCAGGCTTCTCCAGCAAACACCAGGGCACAAAAAGAAACACAAAACTGCAAAAAAGAAAAAACAAAAGAAGATCACACTGATCCAATGATCTCTAGCAGTACAATAGAACATCACTTGAGCAATATATTGTACATATATCCAACAATAAAGATATTATACAAGGGATGTGAGTCATGAGGTAACACTGGTCTCATGGAAGAAGTTCAAGTTGCAAACACTAAAAATAAAAATAAAAGGGGGGAGGGGGGTGGCTAACTTGTAATTAGTTTACCTGCATGGTGCAATGTAGTATAAGCTGGTAATCGGGTTTAGAGTCAAGCCCTTCTTTTGCAGGAGGACTTGAGTTAAGACCAGCCTAAGAGCTTCTGCAAAGATGCCCGTAACCTGATAAACTGTGCCAACCATATTAAAATGAATTTCCCCATATGAGGAAATTACAACTCCAATGCTGACCAGCACCATGTTTAAGAACACATTGCACCTTGCTTTGTCAGTGCCACACATAACACCCATAGAAAATGTAGCCACTGGCACTGTAACATTGAAACACAAAATGCCAGTCATTAGAATTAGACAGCGATCCCTTGCAATGTAATAAAAAAAGCGCTTTGTTTCCACATACTTAGAGCTTTGAGCATCTGGATAAAAGCCACAGATATATGCAAATAGGCAGTGTTACCAAACCTGTATTGCAACAGGAAAAAACAATGATGCTTAGAACACGCAAAATACTATCAACAAAGGGAAGAAATTATAAAACAAAGCTGTCAAAATTCTGCACAGCAAGTACACAACAAGCTCTATATCCTAAGCATTTAGCAGTCTCTAGCAGAAACCTTCCAGAAACTCAATAGCATACACGCATGAGCTTAAAACTAATCATCTAGGTTTATTGGATTGAAATTTAACTTCGAATTTTAACAATTTTAAGTGAACTATTCTGGGTGCAGTAACTCCTTAACAAATTGTAAGGAAAGCCAAGCAGACAGATCCATTGTGTAACAATAATGTACTAAAAACAACAAAAACAGTCTGAAACATCCCAAAGGAAAGGAGGATGCACTATGATACAAACTACTTACTGCATGATCAATACCTAGCAACAAGTTAATCAGTAATGCTCAGCACGGTTTTCAAGCAGTACGCTTGAGCTTGTTGCCTACAGAAATGTCTAATTACATAGAAAAAATCATACCATCTTAATGAGGAAAACGCTACATCACAACACCAAACAAGAAGCTCAGTCATAACGCGTTTAAGTGCTTACCAAAGACTTGACGCAAAGAAGGCACTTATAGGTATTACACATGTTGCATATCTGTGACACCAAGAAAATATGTTTAAGAAAGAGAAAACGGATCCCGTGGCAGTGCAATAATTAAGAATAATCATGCTGATTTTGGATAAAGAACTGCACTTACATTTCAAATGTCATTTTGACAGGAGCTACAATCTGCATATTGAGATGGAGGGAGAAGAAAATGTATCACCAAGCTAAGCACAACAATGGAGTATGAAGCTTGCAAAGAAAGATGATAGATAAAAGTGCTCTCAATTTTATATTTAGCTTCTGTAGAAACATACACACTGAAAAACAAGGGCCTCTTTGGTCGAATTTAATACAATGAGAGGCTAATATCTCTCAGAAATGAGGATAATGTCATCAAAACACTAATTAGTTTTTATTATTGTGGCAAACTTGTCAATCCCATAGCTATTAGCATATAATGGTGAGATGCGAGATATGATGGGGTCAGTTGCTTTGGCTTCACCAGTTTAGTATGAAGACATTCCGTAGGATAGTTAGCAACATTAGAAGAAAAGGGAGAATAGAAAAATTGGGTTTAGTTGCATGTCAAACCTTGAAAACACGGATAAGGAAAAAGGCAATGAGTCCAGAGAATGCCATGTGAATCATTGTCAACGTTATAGGAAATGGAAAATTGAAGTATTTGGGAGACAGAACCCACTGCAATAAAATGGAGACAGTGCATTACAAGAAAGCAAGCAATATAGAGAAAGTAAAGTGCGAAGAAAGCAACAAGGACATTGAGATAGAAAAATGGAGGTGTTACCTTGTTGTACAATATAACTCCTGAAGAAAGCAAAACGTAGATGAAGAGGTAAAGATAAGTCAATAGAAGCGGCTTGTTTATCATTGTGGTGGGTTCGCTTAGTTTCCTGTAACCAGAAATCAAATGCAGAATAACAGACAGTCTTTAATAAATCAGAAAGCAGTGGAATTAGCTGAAATTGGAAAGAAATGGATAATGAATAACATGTAAATCTAAGTTGGTAGTGAATTAGACCTAATTTAGCAAACAATGACATGTGAAAAAAGAAAAGGGAAATGCGGAGGCAGAGAGATCCGTTTCTGATCTATTCTGCTATGTATTTGTACAACAGAAACATTAAAGAGATAGAGATAGAGAAGAGAGTTACCGGCGGCGGCAAATCTGGAAATAAAAAAAAAAAAAGAAACTGACAGATGAGAGTGAGAGGAGGGAACGGACACGGAGATTTTTGTACTTGCTCTCCCAAGTTACAAACAATAAAAGAGAGCAGAGACAATGAGAGGGAAGAAGAGGTCGGGTTGCGTTTGGCTTCGGCTTCGGCTTTGGCTTTGGGTTTGTGACTAAATGACATGACACACTTTACTGTAAGCAGATGGATTTGGCAGGCGGAAGCCAACTAAACTCAACTGCAATTATTACAAAAAACAAAAAAAACAAAACCTACAAGTAGTCCCACAACCACAATTTTTACTTTTGACTTTGCTTTAATTTCCGAAACCCTTAAATAATTAGTATTATTTTTAACTATGAAATGAAGCAAAACGAGTATGAATGTTATCACATGTGGAATATGAATCTAGTTTATATTCATTTGGACTCACCTCACTAAAGATCCAAATTAAGTGGGCGATTATAAATTTATGTTGAACGTGCCCATCACCATCCGCCCGCTAGCTGATGCATTGCATGTGGATTTCTTCTTCTTCTTCCAAATTTCCCATCTTTTCTCTCTTTCAGACTCGACACAACTTCTCTCTTTCTTTCTTATTGCCTATCGCTATATCTCCATTGTATTTTCCTCCAAGGAATTCAATCCTCACAATTTCCAGTGTCCCAAGCCAGCCCTTTGAAGATTATTCCTTGTTCATTTCATTTTCTGGGCCAAATTGCTAGCTAAGGACACACAACGTCTTCTAGCATGTATGTGTATATATATATATATATATATATATATAAAACCAAAAACCTACTTAATTTTGAGGAGGAGCTGCACTGCACCTGCTCCTTATCAATCAACATTAATTTTAATATTCAGCTGCGAAAATACCTTCATTGCTTTTGATAGTCTATAAACTAAGAAGGGTTATGTTATGTGATGTTGTCTCAGCTCTCAACCATATAAATTGACAATGTACGACACCCTAAACCATCACGTACAAGAAGAATATGTTGTCTAAACTCTCAAATTCTAAAGATAAGGTTCTATCAGAACAGAACAGAGCAGAAAAGCCGCCAATGGCAATGGCTCAACATGGAGGCATGTGTGCCACGTCGGTGTGTATATATAAACAAGCAGATACTGTATTAATATTCAAGAATATTTTGCCGTGATGAGAAAGTTTGGAGTCATTAACTTCATTTTTATATATAGTACTGTAATCAACTACAACTACAAGAGTATGGTTAATTACTTATTGGTGATGTTTTGATAAATTCTATGAAAGCCTCGTACTGAATCATTTCGACCATTGAAAAGAAGGCGTTTCATACTAAAAAAATCACCTAAAGATTGGCCAAAACCATTACTAGAAAGTGAATTTTTAGCGATCCAAAGTTAACTCGTTGAAACGGTTATAAATCTATTTTTCATAAGAGTTAATTACATTTTTTGTACATCAAACTTCGAAAAAAAAAATATAAATTAATATCTAAATAAAAAAAATATATAATTTATCTTAAATTTTTAAATAATATATAATTTACACCTTCAATTTTCAAATTATATACTATGTTAAGTAAAATCTTAATTTCACTAAGCATATCAATTTACATACGTTATATTTGATAAATATTATTAAATTATATATTATTAAATATATTATCAATATTTTTTAATATAGATTAAAAAATATATTTTTTTATCTGAATCATAAAAATTTTTTAAGATCAATTAATCATTTTTTTTTATCATGACATTATATGAATTGTTTCAAAATATTTAACATTTTTATTTAATAAATAACAAGAATATATCAACAGTTTTAAAACCCTGAATTGATGCATGTTTCTATACTACAAAATTGAAAATACCAAAATTTTTGAATATGCTATGACTAATTTTACCTTAACCCTTCGACTAAAAGACTAAAATTCCAAATTTCAACCTTTTTTTTTCTCCTTTTCTAAGGTTTCTTCATTTTTTCCTGGTTTCTTTGTTATTTGTTAAAACACATTTTTTTTTTACTCCAATATAAATCGATGGATCTTAATCCAAAATTTGACCTTATTAACTTTTGGACCTTTTTGAGTCGATTATTATTAGAGATGAGCAATTGTCGGCTTCAACCAACAAAATCATCAAAACCGGCATTATTGGTTTAATCGGGATGAGTAAATCGGTTTTGACAGATATTTTGGTTCAATCTTTAGTGTAGACGGTTTATATGGTGGGTCTCAATTATAGTTTTAAAGACCCGAATCGATTGAAAAAATCGATCTTTTTAATCTTTTTACTTTCTGTTTTTATTTATTTTATCAAATTGATAAAATTGAAAAGAAACAACCTTACTCAATCTTTGCAAGTTCTCAACATTTCAAGACATTTCTTCAGTCCTCACGCTCCTGGTTGTTGACCCCCTCCCTCAGCCCTTTTTCGGCTCTCCGCCAAACACCAATCTGTCTCTCGTCAGTCGACTCTTGACTTCTCAAGCTCAAGCTTGCCTCACACTCTGCCTCTCGGTCTCTCCAATGCTTCGTCTCACACTTCGCCTGCCCCTAGTTCACCCTCATCTCTGTAAGTCTGGCACAACCATCGACGGCTCCGCTGCTCCACCAGACCTCCAACGCTTAAAAATTTATCAAAGATCTGTTATTTTTACCTTTTTGTATTTTTTGTGAACTATAGAACAAGAAATTGGTTTTTGTTTCCCTCGTTTATTTGATGACGATGGTGATATCTAAGTCAAAAAATTTACGATCCTAACAAGTTTGAATTTAATGTTTAGCTCTTTGTACATGAACGTTGAACAAATCACGAAAGTAAGACCAAGAAATTGGAGAAAAAGTGTGGTATTTTATTTGTTTTATTGGAATTTTTTTTTATTATTATAATTTTTTTATTTTTTAAAATTTTTTTATGGTGGGTGAGTGATTCATGTATAGTGACGTGAGTTAATTACATAATAAACGTTAAGTAACAACTATCATATGATTTTCAAATTGAAAGTATCGATGCAGTGGCCAAGCAAGTTTTAAAAAGATATGAAGGTTAAGTTCGATCTCAACTTTCTTTCCCTCTTCCTTTTTTTTGGTTGGAGGGCTTTATTATTTTGAAATAAAAAAAAAAAAAAAAGAATAAAAGAAAAATTAAAAAAAAAATTAAATTAACTTAATCAATTCGATTAATTTCAATTTTTATCTCATTAAGCGATCGGTTTGATTTTTTATAAATTAAATCGGTTTAATTAGTTTTTGGTTTTTTATAACCGAATAAACTGAAGCTCCTCCGAATTATTACACCAACTTAAGTATTTGCACAATAATTATCCCTAAAAAAGCAAGAAGAGAAAACTCAAATCAATGGCTTTTAAAGTTGAAATATCATCCATAAATGAAAGGTGAAGAGAAAATTAAGGAAAAGATTGGTACCTGGAACAATCTAAACCCAAAGTAATTGGAGGAAAACAAATTTGATATTGATATATCAACACTGCATTTCTCCATTATTAATTAGTGACACTAGATTGGTAGGGGTCATATGCCAATTTTAGGCAGCCGCATATTTCTAGTTCTCCATGACCACTTCCGTAGGTTCCAGCCAGAAATTTAGCATCTCCATACAATTTGAATTCTAGATGATCATAGTTTTGAGGCAGTATCATATCTCTATATGTGTATGACATACAATTGTGGTAGGATCAAAATATGATGAATTATATATATATAAATCCTTGTAGATGAACTTTGCTTTCTTTTATTTCAAGTTAAGCACTTCATTCTGTGAAGGGTTTTGGCTTTGGGTTTCCTTTCTGACAAGATGAGAACAATCTGATAAGCTTGTGTTCTCAGATCTTACATCTTCAGAACCAAATAGAATAGAAAATAACAGTTTGCCCATTTTCCCATCAGAAAATTGTCTTGCAACATCATGGTTCATCAGGTTTTTTCTTTAGCATTCATTTTGAGGTAGATTAAAGCAGACAACAAACTCCTATGCTTCAACAAACATCAGACACGCATACTCATTAGTTCGCTTTAAGTTTAACAACTCTAAATGCCCTTGTGAAACTTCAGTCTTCACCAAAATTGCGTCTCCCTTTCTCTTCCTGTTTGCTTACTGTTCATCATTCAGCTATTGATCATATTATATTATAATCTTTCAAATTTACTATATACTAGCTATACATATATTCCCAAAACTAATCACTGATCTAATACATATCTCTAAAATCTTTAGCAATGCTATATATAGGTTGCTTTTGATTATGCACTGTATCAAAGGACAAGTTTTGTATTGAGATGTGCCATGTCAGTGATATGCTTAATTGGCTGCTTAGGGGAGCATTACTTGGATTTTGCAAAACTAGACATGATTACTGAGTAGCCTTCTCGATAGAGTTGGTGAGATATTTGTATTTTCATGGAAGCATGTTAGATTCAGATAGCAGAAAGGGAAAATTAAATAGTTTTTCAGAGACGTTAATGTGTTGATATTACAATATTTGTAGCAAATAGACTCCTCCGATGGATGCAGTAAAGCTAGAGCATAATGAAAATGTTAGATATCTTGTGCTTTTTTGGCCAACGAAATGTTGTGCTTTAACTTATTCAACTTCGAAATTAGGGAAAGCACATCGGAGGAACTGTCAGGGTTCTTATCAGGCCAGTCATTATTTAGGTTAATGTGGGAATGGAGACCTTAATTGTATATAAACCAGATAAGAAAGTTAAGGCTGGAGAAGGATGCCCCATTAAATAGGATTAGGTCCAAATTAAATGTCTAATAGTAACGTGTTTCTTAACAGCCTTTTCAGAGGGGACCAACGTTTATAAACTAAAAAGAAAAAAAAATAAAATTGAAGCTTCAACCATGATTGCAATTTGTTAGGAATCGAATCATACAAGTGCTGTAGGCATCAGCAGGCAAGATAAAACGTTATTGGCGGCTAAATATAAGGAGGAAACCACCAAAAGAAGATAAGAATCTGTTACAAGATTAGAGCATTTCAACATCCTTTCTTCCCCCAGGTTTCCTTTGGCCTAACTTCTAAACATGAAGAGTCCTGTTGAATTAGTAGAAAAAGAAAAGATTAATAATTGGATTGCATTTGTTAGGTTCTATTAATAATTGGAACCAAATCCATGCTGTTAGCATATAATCCAATACAAAATAAACGTGTTTCTGTACATAACTTTCCCATATTAATTAAAAGACAATTAGTAACAGATTTCTGACCAGGTCTTGTGTATTTGACCTAATACCAAATTTGGGTCCCATTGTCACTCAATCAATCTATACAAATTATCCTCGGGCCGGGATGGTGATCCATTTTGCAAAGGATTGACGGAGGCAGGAGAAGAACACTTTTTTATGTGTAGGGGTAATCAAATTCCCACTGTGATACACACACGCACCAATAAAATGCAAGGAATTGTCAGAAGTGGACTTTGTTTTTGGAATGAAAAGTTAAGAACACATTTGATTTTATTATTTATACAAACACCGACACAAATCATGTGGTGCTTTTTTGTTCTCAATGCTTTCATGCTTTGCTTTGTTGCTTCAGTTAATTCTTTTCCATGTTGTATTGACGATACTCCGTTAATTTGTAAACAAATAGGAAGTTTGCCAGCTGGTTTAGGTATATTTGCACCACGTATCTTATGTTCACATAAACTACCAGTACCAGAGACAACAACATTAATCCATCTGATCTGCTTATATATCTAGAACCATGATTTTTGTTAGTTTTCTGAGGATATGATATAGATTTAATTAGTTTTACATAAACTTTAGATGTGATCCGTTTGTTTGCTTGTGTAATCTGGATGGGAAATAATTATGTTGCATGTGCTTAACTAGCTTCTCATATCAAATGTTTAAGCAAGACTAATTATCTCAGTATATACAGATAGCAGGCCCAGGCTTTCGTCAGGCATAAGGAGGCCCACTGTGGAAAAATTTTTGGTCGTCATTACTGAGCTACCCCAGCAAGCATATATATATATATATTAGAAGGAATTTATCCTGCAGTACAGTTTTAAACATTTTACGGGCATTGATTGAAACTCCAAGGAGCATATAGATTGAACAGATTAGTTGAAAGGGTTACTAATAAACATTTAAGATAAGGCTGCTCCATGTTAATATTTCAGACCCTTATTACAGAAACATTGATAATATCCTTTTTGAACAGTTTGTATCTGTATCTGTCTGGTATTGCAGTCTGAAAGTATGCATAGCTAGCTGTATACTTATAGGTAAAATGTCAAGTTTTTACCTAAAACTCCTTAATGAGGTTCATTGTCATTGGACCATATTAAAGATCATCAATGATCTCCCCATTAAACAGACTTTTGAAAACTAATAAAATATTGTTGTTAAGACTAATTAAGACAGCTCATATCCCTGAGAGCTTTCTTGTCTTGTTTCATTTCTTTCTCGATCGGGCGGGGCCTAGCTTAATGGATGGATATGTTTAGAATGAATGATGTAGTAATAGTGTTTGAACTTTGAAGTTTGAATATAACCCTTCAAATTAAGGACCACAAACCAGATAACAAAAGTCTGATCAACACCAACACAACTCTTGAAGTAAGCAATAATAAGATTCAAAATCTGTAAGTTGAAATCAATGGCCATCCATCACTCCAGAGCCAGAGGTGCCAGCAAAACAAAAAAAAAGAATTTTTTTCTTGGTGTGCTGTGCCGATCATAAAGTCATACCATGTTTCTTCAACTATACGATACGGATGCATCAGGTTGAACATCTACGAACTCATGGGCACCTCGTTCCTGAAAAATTCTATAATTTTATAAGTTGCAAATTAAACACAGGTGAATCCAATATTACTATCCTACGTACTCTTTTTGGTTACATCAAATGTTTGGTGGAAGATGTGAATGCATACCTTTAGTTTATACTTCACATGGCATGAAAAAGTCGCAATGAATAATCATTAATTTTACCACTGGAACTGGGCATGCCATAGTCATAGATAAAATCTTGATGATGATGATGATGATGGTAATTGATAAATAACAACAATACGAACTAACATTTACATCTCATCTACATCTACTGCTTTATAGTTTTTTATGGGTAGATCTCCTCTGATCTGTTTGTATTTGATAAGCAACCTGACACGTAGGCCTTGAGGGTCTGGCTTGGGTGCAGTTGAGTTTACAATAATGGACCCATTCCCAAGTGCTAATTAACATTTGTTTGTCAAAGAATTAGATTGGATTTGGAAGTCTATATACGTATTCTTGTGCTGAAAGAAGACTTGGGACAAATATTACAACAATAATTTTGTCCTTGGAACCAGTTCAACACTGCAACAATTATTCGACGTCTCTCTCTCTCTCTCTCTATAAATATATAGTATTGTATTAAAAACAGCAAGGAAATTCTTAATTAATTCTGCCACGACCCAATCAAAGTAATATCAAATGTTGGTTTTGTGAAATGTCCCAGGATGACACAGCTCTTTTTGGCTGTAAGGGGAGAGATGAGGTTGCTTCTCACATATATAAACCATGATTAATATTCCTTTAGTCCTCATTCATCACAGGTTTCATTATTACAGCAATTATGCTCTAGTATATATTGTTTGGGCCGCTTTGGAATGCTTTTTGCAAACTTTTGTAATTCCATCCCACCTTTTATCTATGTGTTTGTGGGGATTATGCTTGATTCTGCATTCTTCTTTTCATTCATGCCCAGACGTATATACATGACACTTGACACATCCACCTTATAGAGTATATATGATCTCCACAAAGATTAAAGGGATGGGTAAATCTCATATTTTTAATTTAATATTGTGAAGCTAAAGCAAGGGTGTTTCGGGGCACACAAGGACAAGGTCAATCGGAAACCTGGTTTGGTAATGGTGTCCAGTCTGTTTCTTTGACTATGCAGGCAGATCTACTGAACAACATATACCTATGGATTAAAAAAAAAACCCATAAATTAACATCTCAAAATAAAATACTAAAAAGTTCCACAGAACTCAAGGATGAAAATTATGGTACATAATATATGGTCATAATGAGAGCATTAAGTATTTGTTTTTTGGGGTTAATTTGGTTTGGGGGTCCATTCTCAATCCTGTTTAATTTGACATTTTATGCTTTTTCACTCCTCCACGGCTTCACTTTGTCTCCCGTAAAAATCATGGTCTCTCTTCCGTTTCCCATTCATTTTTTTTTTCAATTTTGAAGTTAGTGTTTGACTGATAAAAAACTAATACTAGTTGTAGAAATAGAACAAAGGAAAAGAGAGATTGAATAAAAAGACCCACAAACGGTTTTTATTTTTTCTATATTTATATATATCGTGTGATAAGTTTCAGATTATATGTCACTTTCTGACCCTTCAAAAAATTGTTTCCAATAATATACAGTGTTGTAATATTAAGGCAAAGAAAAAAAAAAAGTGAAGAAAGAGCAAAGAAAGCTTCCAATTGTTGTGTACTGTAAGCTTCTTCGGTTTCACTGTTAATGTAAGGCATGTCTTTCCTCATTACCTACCTCTGACAACTCCACATCTTCTTTATTCGTATTACCCATTCCCCCAAACCCATTTCTCGAAAACCCTGACTCATGGAAACCCTACACAAATCCTTTCTTTTTAAAAATGCAGCACCTTGTTTTCAAGCATCTCAAGGTGCTTCTCTGTGGGGTTTACACCTTTCTTCTTTATAGACACCCACACTCCTAAATTTTGCTCTTTTTTGCTTCTTACCGATTGTGTCTCAAGGAGGTTTGTTGTGATTCATTTACTCTTCATTGCGTTTTTTGGCATCTAATGCTAAAAGTTTTGATTTTTTGGATTGATTTTGTCAAATGATGCCTGAAATTCGTTTTTTCTTTTTATTTTATTTGTTGGAAATATGATATCTGGTTCGGTCTGAATGGTTCATTATATGTGATGATTGTCAAATGTAGGTGTGTGCTGGAAATGTGATGCCTATTTCTATTTGATTTTGATTTTTGTTTATTATTTGAAAAAGTTTTGGTAGTCGGTGGACTTTGATTTAAAGAAAACTCTTTACTTTCCTAGCTTCTCTCTGTGGCTGAAGGCTCTTTGGGTTCTTTTTTGGAAACTTGATTGTGTTCTGCTTTTCTTATCACTCTGTTGCTCCGTACTTTCTATAGTTGCTTTCCCACTGCACTTGTTTTCTGTGAAAAATGAGTTATGCTACCGTGTACTGTGTGTGGTTTTTTTCTACGAAACTTTTAGCCATTTTTCTCTTTTTATGCACATATATTCAGTATAATATGTGATTAGAAGGGAGATTTCATTGGAATGTTTTGTGTCGTAAATCAATTGATATTTTGAATAAATGCAAAATATGTAGCAGTTTTTTATTATTTGATGCAGAGTGTAATTTTAAGTTCTCTTAGTTGAACATTTTTCAGGCATCTAGGTGTTGGTGAAAATGGCGTCTGATCTGAACAAAACTCTGTCACAAACATACATTGGTCTGCAGTTGTGGGTACTTATTGTAATTGGCTTAGCAGTGGTTTTTTTAGTTATCCTTGGCATATCTCTGTGGCTTAGTTTTCGAAAGAAATCCAGAAAGGCTAATGACATGCTTCCTGTAAGGCAAGCGCCTTATATTCCAGAGGAAATTAAAGAGATAAGCATTGATCAAGTTTCAGCAAACAATGGTGGTCTGAACACCCTTAATGATAAATTCAGTGACAGAGATTCAGAGAAGGTTTTGTTTAATGTAGATAATGGAGATGAGAGTGGCCAGTCAGGTTCCTTTAATCATGTGGAGAAAGATGTTAAAGGATCTCAACCAGGAGAAGAGGGAGGCACTGGAGAAGTTTCCACATACAGGCCTTCTTCACATCCGTTGACTGCTCCTTCACCTTTGTCTGGCCTGCCTGAATTTTCACACCTGGGCTGGGGTCATTGGTTCACTCTCAGAGACCTGCACCTTGCAACTAACCGGTTTTCGAAGGATAATGTCATTGGTGATGGTGGATATGGAGTTGTTTATAGAGGCAATCTGATTAATGGGACCCCTGTAGCTGTCAAAAAGCTCCTCAACAATCCGTATGTTCTAGAGAAGCGTATTTCTTGAAAGATTAATCCTTTTCTTCATGTTATGCTGTCCATAGGTTGTAAGGTCTGCTGATAATGGTTCAATTTTTTTTAGGGGACAAGCTGACAAGGATTTCAGGGTGGAAGTTGAAGCCATTGGTCATGTGCGGCATAAAAACCTAGTTCGACTTCTTGGTTACTGCATTGAGGGCACACAAAGGTATCATGTTGTTTTATGTAGTCCATACTCCATATGATTTGGAAAGTTGAGTGGGCTGCTTGTGACTTTGTATCCCTGAATGAGAGTTAAAGTTAATGAATTGTTATCTCTGTCTGTCAATGTTCTTATAATATGTGGCATAGAAAGGAAAGAGATATTTTCTGTTTTGTAATTTTCTGCCATAAAATCCAGGATGTTGGTTTATGAATATGTCAATAATGGCAATTTGGAGCAGTGGCTTCGTGGAGATATGTGTCACAAGGGATATCTTACTTGGGAGGCTCGCATCAAGATTCTTCTTGGCACTGCCAAGGCGTAAGTCAGCCTTTAACTAAATCTTGGTTGTTAATACTTACCTGGGATTTAATCTCATTTGTTACTCAAAACTAAATGTTGCAGATTGGCTTATTTGCACGAGGCTATTGAACCAAAAGTTGTGCATAGAGACATAAAATCAAGTAATATACTGATTGATGACAACTTTGATGCTAAAATATCTGATTTTGGTCTGGCCAAATTGCTAGGTGATGGGAAAAGTTATATCACAACTAGAGTTATGGGTACCTTTGGGTGAGAATAATGCCTTTCCTTTAATCAACTGCCTTGACTTTTTCAACTTTCACTAGTTCAATATTTTCCATTTTAGTTTTAGCATTGTTTTTCTCCTAAACAATATGGAGTTGTATCGTTAAAGAGGCTAACAAAGTCATTGGTTAATGTAGTCTTTTTCTCCTGTTTGCATGGTTTTCCAGTTATGTTGCTCCAGAATATGCCAACTCTGGCCTCCTGAATGAGAAGAGTGATGTTTATAGCTTTGGTGTTGTGCTCTTAGAAGCAATAACTGGAAGATACCCAGTAGATTATGGTCGCCCTCAGCCAGAGGTACTGAAGAACACTTCTTTATCAGCATAGGTTTAAAAAGGCTTTTATGTGCTGTGCTTATCTAAGGAGTTATTTGATATTATATGCCTTTATCATTAATGTACTTTTGCTAGATAGATGTTTGCCTTTTAAGTCTTTAATTCCTATGTGCCTGAAACATATATGCTTAAAATTACTACAAAGCTCTTTGCTGCCTTCATTATTTCATGATGCCAATTTTATGTCTGATGCTTTTTTTTTTTTGGCCATTCTGATGCTTTTGTTTATTCATTCTTCCTCCTAGCCAACAATTAAGGACATAGCACAGTGGAGTTCTTTTGACATGACCCTGTTGTGTGGTGAACTCACAGGTGAATATGGTTGAGTGGCTAAAGATGATGGTTCAACTCAGACGCTCAGAGGAAGTAGTTGATCCTAACATTGAGACTAGACCATCAACTAGTGCTCTTAAACGTGCTCTTTTGACTGCTTTGAGATGTGTTGATCCTGATGCTGATAAAAGACCAAAGATGAGTCAGGTTGTTCGCATGCTTGAATCAGAGGAATATCCTATTCCTCGAGAGGTTTGATTCTGATACTTGAATTACACTGTTATTATTTAAACTGTATATCAAAGAAAACTTGCAGAAGTTCAATTTTAGTTCTGACAAAAGGATAATAATACTGAATGCTGGAAGTACCAGGCTAAATGATTGCTGACTACTTGGTTTTAGATATAATGTCTGGTAGGAGAATGTCCAAACTACGTTTGTTACTATAGCTTGACTCTCAATATGTATCCTCGACAAAATTTCCAGGATAGAAGACGCAGAAGGAATCAGGCAGTGAATTCAGATGCCGATCCTCAGAGGAAAAACTCTGATGCTGATAGGAGTGATGATCCAGATTCAAGGTTGGGCATTTGAATGCACCATCAACCCTACCCTAGACTTGGGGGCAAAATGGTCTTAGAAGCTGAGAACAAGGGCAACTACCTTCCTTACATTTGTTTATATTCTGATGACTTGGAATGGCCTACAGTTGCGATCGTAGACATGCAGCAGATGCAGGCAACTGAGGGAATTCCTTTTTTGAGCTTTGAATTACGTATCTACTTCTAGATTCTAGATAAGATTAGGTTGTGTGCGGAGATGGCATTATTATGAGACATCATTGCCACTAAAGTTTCTGTACAGGTCCATTGGTTCTTTTTACTTATCGCTGTTATTTTCCTAAGGTCTTGTAGTTCACTTTTATGAATATTTGTTGCTGGGATGGAGAAAATGAAAAGAAAAATACTAGTAAGAAATCTGATGGTAGAACAGGGACGACAAGTACTCTACACTTTCTTCTGTTGGATAGTCGTGTAAGCAATGCTTGTTCCATGTATGCAATGTTGAAAAACTACGTAAGTTGAGGTTGTGATTTGAAACTTGAAAGCATCTTTCTGCTGGAAATTACGACCAAGGCGGTCCCATGTGCAGATGATGAGTCAAAAAAATGTACTATTTTTCTGGTCCTAACAAAAGCTGTTGTTTGTGGTCAATCTGCTGAGTTGAACAGAGGCAGTGACTGGTTAGAGCCAGACATTTTGGTTGCGTTGGTGAAGGGGCAAAAACAGAAATGTACGTGAAATTGCAGGAAGAGTAACTTAACAGGGACGTAATGTTGATTTGCATGTGATTATTTTATTTGCGGCCATGTGCAGGGTAAGGCATCTAACACATGGTTTTAGGCATAATGAGTATGACAGCAACGCTCCATTTTCATGTCAGTTTCAAACTTTTCCACTGTGAAAGTTTTTCCAACGTCTTTTGCTTCTGAACACTTTAAAAAAAGGGGTCTTTTGGTTTAAATCTAAAAATTTAGATATTTACAATAAGCAAGCAAAAAGATTGACAAGAACAGATTATGCTTATCAAGTAGTGGAGTTTAAGACAATCCTCGATCACGTCACGAGCTACACCAGGACCGGTATGCCTCTGTTTTCAGATCAGAGCTGAGATAAGATCCTTTTCATCTCTTTCCTTTTACTTATGTCCTCTGAAGTCAATTATAATTATAATGATGATGAAGATATGAATGAATCTGTTCTTTTAATGACTGCAAACAAAGGCACATCTTGCAAGCCATTGAAAAACAAACTTTATTTGGCAGCTTGAATAATTAAATTTGTAGGATTTTGGTCCATGAAAAAGTCAACAAATAACTTAATATGGTTGGGGCTGAAGATATTGATGGAAGATGATCTAAAACCATCTACAAAATTTACAAAAAAAAAAATCACTGACTGACAGACAGAATTTCAACTTCAATTTGTCTTGAATTTGATACAGTAATAGCCAATAGGGGTCATCCTCATCCTCATGGACGAATTCACAAATGCTGCGTTTCACTGTGTGTGTGGGAAGCTGTTGGCCGAGTAGTGTCCAAAAGAGGCTGAAGAGCTTTCACTACAACGCTCATATTAGGTCGAAAATCAGTTTCATATTGCACGCACAAGGCAGCAGCAGCAGCAGCCAGCTGTTTCCCACATACAAAGATCAGTACGGGATGTGATTGGACGCAAAGCACCGTCAATGACCACAATTGCCTCTACTGCCACTAGTTTTTAGTAACTAGATCGTTTTTAAATTCATCAAAATTGCAAACCAACTTTGGAAATGCAAATGAAAGAAATAATGTTTCTCAAGTCAATATTAAAAGTAACCAATTCCCGAGTCGAAAGATATATATATATCATCTCCAACAAATTCAATAACTTTGCAACAGCCTTGGGAAGGTATTCTCCACTTAGTCTAGCATCAACACACTGCTTCCCCTTGTCTTCACTTGGTTTTGGAGTTGCCTAATGCAGTCCAAAATGGAAATAGTATTATTAGGATCAGTTATTAGTCTGAAGAAAAGATGAATATGATGAATTACACAGTAATAACACCCATGTCACAAGACTCTGCGGTCCACCTGGCAGTGTAAATAATATAAACTCGAAGAGCAAAAGGTAAAAATAGTATAACTTGAAAAAGTCAGGGAACGACTTACTCTGGAGCATGATATCCAAAGGTTCCAAGAATCCGTGTAGAATGGAGATGAGCTACCATATCAGGGGTTTGATTCAACAAATCAAAATCAACGACTTAGCAACATCATTATCAAAAAGAAGTAAATTGCTGGACTTAATGTCACGGTGGATCTGTGCCTTTTCGTGCAAGTATTCAAGGCCTCTTGCTGCCCCAACAGCAATTTTTACTTCCCGTGTCCATGATAGAACTGGACCTGTCTGTGCTCCTTTCGTACCCTTCTTTCCTATATATTTTCACAAATTGGATAATTGGATTACTCCACTATACAACCAAGGATAGATAACTTGTTATTGATAAAACTAACAAGCCTTAATTTGATACAGAAACACTACTCCTAAATCTACTAAAGTGCCGATGCATAAGAGTATTGTATTCAGTAGTCCCTCTAAGCAGAAAAGAGCCTCCAAGTTTCTTAATGCAAATTATGTTATATCTTAAATCGATTGTAACACATTAGACATTTTGGCTTCACTACATATCAATTTTTCAAACACTTAATTCATGCAATAAAAACACCATATGTATGTTTCTGCAAATAGAGTACTGCCAGGAACAATGAAACAGATCAAATTCAGCACTCATTCAAAGTTATAATTAATGGAGGAATATAGGTTAATCTGGATAAGAGTCATAACTACACAAAAACAGGATAACGATATGATGTCACTTACCATGAAGCATATCATGAAGAGATCCGTTAGAAGCATACTCGTAGGCCAAGACACGGAGAGAGCCATCAATACAGTAACCAAGAAGCTCCACAACGTTATCATGTTTTAATCTTGATACTATGGAGACCTGTTCAGTTATGTGATATGAATAAAGAAGTCTCACATCCTGTAATACATGTCAGCATTTTATACAATGAAATTTCTTCAGGTCCAACCTGCTCAAGGAATTCTTGGTATGGCTGCTTACTGGAGTCCAAATTTTTTATGACTGCAGCCTTCCCACTTTTCAGAATGCCATAATACACTCTTCCGAAAGAGCCCTCACCAATTAAGGATTTTGTACCAAAATTATCTATCATTTCCTTTAGCTCATCCACTAGGATGACAGGGATGGCAATAGGTTGAATAGTATCAGGCTGTGTATCCCTAGTTACAGCTGCTCTTACTTGATATCCTCCGGTATTGCCTACATGAGCACCTGCTCCATTAGTTTCATGCTAACCAACCAGATACTAATCATGCAATCAAATTTAGAGGAAAAACAGGAAAGAGAAAAAAAAAACCCTATTTGTGGCAGAGATGTTAATCATTAGAAACAAACGCATCTCTATCCATTAATGTTTCCCCATTTGTTCAGTGGGAAAATAAAGAAACAATGGTTTTTAAGAAAATTTAAGCATGAAACCTTAAGACAACCCAGCGCAGAATTACAAAGAGATAGAGAGAGAGAACTTGAGAATGTAGAATTACTTGAAGGAAAATAAATGCAAACACTCGAAATGTAGTAATGCGAAATTTGAGGGGTGGGGGGGTTGGATGTTGGTCTGTTCTTGTATAGTCGTATTCACTTTTTGTAACTCTCTCTATTCTTTGACTTTTAATTATGGGTTTTAGTTGGTAAAAAATACTACCATGGATTGGTCATATATAATATGAATGAATATGGCAGAACAAATTCAAAGCAATTTGATTGGAAAGAAAAGAAACAGAAAAAGAAGAGCACAAAACAACCACACCCTTTTTAGATTTTGATAACTCTAGGTGAGGTATAAAATAAAATGGCTTTCTTTTGTTTACCCTTTGAATGGATAAAGCCAAGTAACAAAGAGATTTTATTTATCCCTTGAATGGATAAGTAACAAAGAGATTTTATTCAATCTTTTAAATATAGTATTATGACTATTGCTTCAGGCACAACAAAGTGATATCAAAGTAAGGATTATTTTGAAAGATCAATATAGAAGTAGTTCAAGACAAAAGTAAATTTTATTTGAGATCATGAAGAGTGATACAGGTTCTATGATAAAATTAACAGCATCAAATTATTCAATTTGGAAGCATATGATGGAAGATCATTTATACTACAAAAATTTATATGAGCCGGTATTGGATGATTCAACTAAACCAGCAAATATAAAAGATGAAAGCTGAAAGAAGTTAGGCAAAAAGATGCTAGCTACAATAAAAAAATGGATTGATATTGGTGTGTTCTATTATGTAGTGCAAGAGACAAATACCCATACTATTTGAAAAAAATTGATAATATTGTATGAGAGAAAAATAGGTATGAATAAAGTTATACCTGTTAAAAAGCTTGCAACTATACAATACAGAGATGGAAGACCGATTACAAAGCACTTAAGTGATTTTTAAGATATATTTAATCGAATGACTACTATGGAGCTTAAGATGGATGATGAAATGAATACGTTATTTTTTTAGGTTCATTGCCAGATAGCTAGAATACTCTAGTTATGACTGTTCATAATTCAGCTCCTAATTACAATGTGACATTGGAGATGATAAAGGACAGTACGCTTAATGAAGAAACAAGACAAAAACATGTAGACTATGGGAATCAAGCTCTGGTCACAGAAAATAGGGGTAGAAACATTGACAAAGGTCAGAACTTAAAACGTTATAGTAAGTTTAAACATAAATCCAAGTCCAAAGATAAAGTAAAATGTTTCCATTGTAGTAAAGCAGGTCATATAAAATGGAACTGTAAAATCTTGAAGCAAGAGTAGAAAGATGAGAAAGATAATAGTTCAAATGATGACAATGCTGCAGCAGTGAATTCAGATAGTGATTCAATTACTTTGATTTGTACACATAATAATTTTAATCATGTTAAAAATCTTGGCATGGAGTAAATAGTTAACATAAGAGCGGCATATCATTGTGTTTCTAGAAGAGAGTTATTTACAACTTACAAAGTATGAGACTTTGATTGCACTAAGATGAAAAATAAGAGTGTGTCGTAAATTATTAAGATTAGTGATATTATTGTACAAATTAGTACAAGTTATATGTTGACTTTAAGAGATGTTAAACATATTTTGGATATGAGAATGAACTTACTTACTATTAATGTCCTTGATAATGAGGAATATGAGAGTTGACATAAGAATGGGCAGTGAAAGCTTCGCAGTGAAAGCTTCTCAAAAGATCTATGGAAGTTGCAATAAAAAAATCATGCTGCACAATATACAAGATATGGATGCAATTGAACGGTAACTAAATAAATACCGTTGAGGGTGATGCTTTAACAAACTTGTGGCACAAGAGGTTGGCATACATGAGTGAAAAAAAGTTACAAGTTTTGGCAAGGTAGTCTCTCTTACCAAAGGTATGTCTCTTGATTATTGTGATCATTGTTTGTTTGGTAAGCATCGTAGAGTTTTTTTTTGTAAGAGTTCTCAAAGAAAAAAAATTTAAAATTAATTTAGTCTGACATATATGGTCCCATTGAAGTTAAGTCATTAAGTGGTAATAAGTATTTTGTTACTTTTATTGATAATGCTTTACGGGGTGTATATGTTGAAAAACAAAAGTCAAGTATTACAGTATTTTCAAAAATTTCATGCCATGATGAAAAGGATAATAGGGTTATCCTTAAAGTGTATTTGAATTGATAATGGTGAAAATTACACATCCAAAGACTTTGAATAGTATTATACAAAGTATGAGATTAGGCATGAGATGACAGAACCTAAAACAATGTAGCATAATGGT